AGGCATGAACCACGGCACCCAGCTGAGAATTTCCTTTCCTTTTCTTTTTTTTTTTTGAGACAGAGTTTCGCTCTTGTTACCCAGGCTGGAGTGCAACGGCGCGATCTCAGCTCACCGCAACCTCCGCCTCCTGGGTTCAGGCAATTCTCCTGCCTCAGCCTCCTGAGTAGCTGGGATTACAGGCACGCGCCACCATGCCCAACTAATTTTTTTGTATTTTTAGTAGAGACAGGGTTTCACCATGTTGACCAGGATGGTCTCGATCTCTTGACCCCGTGATCCACCCACCTCAGCCTGCCAAAGTGCTGGGATTACAGGCTTGAGCCACCGTGCCCGGCCGAGAATTTCTTAATAGAATGTTGGAAGGACTAGAGCCCCCACCCGAGCCCCACATTCCTCTTTCAGGTTTAGTAGAACTAAAAAGAATCACGCTTGGGTACATGGCCAGCAGTATCCTTAAGCATAAACAGCCAAGTGTCTCCAGGCCTTCCTTATACACCGCAGAGCCCTCCTTACCTGCTGAAGAGTTCTGGTTCTCTGAGTTACTACCCACCTCTCTCTCTCCTAAGGGCCTGGAGTTCATTTGAAGTCATTCCTTCGCCAACTCTGGCCAAATCATTCAGATCTGTTGAACTAACATTCTTAAGGATTACTGGTCAACTGTGGTTTGAAATCTTTTTATTTTTATTTCTTGACCTATGACAGCATGGCCAAGTGATTTGGAAATGTACGCTCAGTCCAGATGAGTACTGGATTCGGGTGTTAAGTAAAATAAAGTAGAGGGGATGGAGAGTATTAACTGGGAAAACACCACATACAACTTTCTCTCCTGAGCTTCTCAATGTGATCCGAGTAGATGCCCTTGGCAGGAAGGGCCAGGTGTCTTTCTCTCCCCTTCCAGCGCTGAGGGACAGCGCTCTCCACTCCTACAACCTTGAGTTCCTAGTCAGGAAACCATCCCACCGAAATACAAGCTCAAACACTCTGAAACCTAAACCTCAAGTGAGAGATGGGCATTACTGATGACAGAAATTTTAACTGTCCTGGAAGAAAATTAGATTCAATCTTTAAAGATGCATGGCAGGCCGGGTGCTGTGGCTCACACCTGTAACCCCAGCCCTGTGGAAGGCTGAGGTGGGTGGGTTGCTTGAGGCCAGGAGTTCGAGACCAGCCTGGGCAACATGGCGAAATCCCATCTTCACAAAAAAAATACTAACATTAGCCAGGTATGGTGGGGTGGGCGCCTGTGGTCCTAGCTACTCAGGAAGCTGAGGTGGGAGGATCACCTGAACCTGGGAAGCTGAGGCTGTGGTGAGCTGTGATTGTGCTACTGCACTCCAGCCTGGGTGACAGAGTGAGACCCTGTCTCAAAGAAGAAAAAAAAAAAGGCCAGGCGTGGTGGCTTACGCCTCTAATTCCAGCACTTTGGGAGGCCAAGGCAGGTGGACCACGAGGTCAAGAGATTGAGATCATCCTGGCCAACATGGTGAAACCCATCTCTACTAAAAATACAAAAATTAGTTGGCTGTGGTCGCGTGTGCCTGTAGACCCAGCTATTTGGGAAGCTGAGGCAGGAAAATCATTTGAACCCAGGAGGCAGAAGTGAGCCGAGATCACACCATTGCACTCCAGCCTGGTGACAGAGTAAGACTCCATCTCAAAAAAAAAAAAAAAAAAAAAAAAAAAAAAAAAAAAAAGAGAAAAAGAGATGCATTGCAGTTGGGGCTGGAGAAGCTGAATACAAACCATCATGATTTGAGCACTGAGGGTCTAAGGCGAGAAGGAAAGAACAAAACAGAAAAAGCTGCTTCACATGCAAATGGGGGAGCTAGAAAATGTACCTTCCTACCAGGGGACCTCGGACCCCTTCCTATCCCTCCAAATAGTAAACGAACACAACCTACACAGGCACAGGATTCCCTGCTGGCCTGACAGGCACGCATGACACCTGTGCCTGCTTTTTATCACACGTTTATCCTCAGCCCCAACTGCCTTTGCAGGTGAATTTGGGGCCTCTTTCTGCTGGAATCCTCAGTGTTCCCCTGAACTTCGCAAAGGTGAACCACAGGCCAGACTTCAGGTCACCCTACGAAGTCAGAGAGGACCATAGTTGCCTCCCACTTTTGCAAGTTTGCTATAGAGGGACATGACTTCCCCAATCAGGAAAAGAAGTCACAGAGGATCTACTCTAAGATGGTTCAAAAAATCTTCAGGCAGGCAGGGTGCAGTGGTTCATGCCTGTAATCCCAGCACTTTGGGAGGCTAAAGCAGAAGAATCCCTTGAGCCCAGGAGGCTGAGGCTGCAGTGAGCTACCATCGTGCCATGGCACTCCAGCCTGGGCAACAGAGTAGGAGCCTGTCTCTTAAAAAAAAAAAAAAAGAAAAAGAAAATCTTCAGGTAACCTTTATCTGAACATGTATTTCCTGCATGACACAAGTTCCTGGTATTTAATGGCTGCTTCTCTCAACATGACACTGTTGTATATTTATGAGGCTCTGCAAGTCCAGAGTTCTTTTTTTATTTTTTTGAGGTGGAGTCTCACTCTTTCGCCCAGGCTGGCGTGAAGTGGAGCAATCTCGGCTCACTGCAACCTCTGCGCCCAGGGTTCAAGCGACTCTCCTGCCTCAGCCTTCTGAGTAGCTGGAAATATAGGCACCTGCCACCATGCCTGGCTAATTTTTGTATTTTTAGTAGAAACTGCGTTTCACCATGTTGGCCAGGCTGGTCTTGAACGCCTGACCTCAGGTGATCTGCTCGCCTCAGCCTCCCAAAGTGTTGGGATTATAGGCGTGAGCCACTGTGCCCGGCCCCAGAGTTCTTAAAAGCCCTCATTTGTTAGCTTACAACTGCTGAACCATCCCTTGCTACCTTAGCCTAGAAACCAAACCTCCAGGCCCAAAGCCAAACAGTCAGGAGCCCAGAATCAAGGTGTGTTTTGCTCAGAAGCCTCAAGCCCGGCCCTCTCTTCCTCATAAATCAACCACAGAAGAAAAAATATCTGTACAGAGAAACCTGTTAACTAGTCTCTAGCTTATTCCTGTTATTTATATTGAGAAAGGAAGGAAGGTCACCATCTGGGGCCTTAGAGTCAGGCTCTAAGTTTTAATTATAGTTCTTTTACTTGATACCTATGTGACTCTGGATATCTTACTGTACTTCTCTGAAGCTGAGGAGCTGTTGACACAATTACAGCCTGTGAGGTTGTGCCCGTATCTGCAACTAGAGTAATGATCCTTGTACCTGCATTGCCTAGAGCCCTTTCCTCAAAGTTCCTCTAATCCTCTGATCATAAATATCTTTGGAATTGTCCTGAGATAAATCTTCAGGCATGAGCTCCCTGAGTTCTCTCCTTTAGGCTGGAATGTTTTCTCCCTTAGTCATAGTAAACCTAGAAACATTTCTTACCAAATCATGTGAACTATCAGCTCTCACCCAGATAAACCAGATTTTCTTCATTGCTGGCAAGTTTCATTGCTGGTCCGGTTTCACCAAGACCGCTAGGATGGGAAGCTGGTGACGCCACATTTGGGGTGGATACATGATAGGATGGAAGTGTTTTCAGACTGCGAGTCCTCAATAAGCATGTTTTTTTAAAAAATGATTTTTGTTTTTAATGAACAGGATAGAAAATATCACAGTACTTTGTATATAATAGGGTAAGTATGGTTTCACAACATTTTTGTTTGTGTGTGTGTGTGAACTCAGTCTTAATGTAAAAAATATATATATTTAACAACCTCATGAATATATTATGTGTATATATATATATACACATACATTTTTTTTTTTTTTTTTTTTTTTTTGAGACGGAGTTTCGCTCTTGTTACCCAGGCTGGAGTGCAATGGCACGATCTCGGCTCACTGCAACCTCCGCCTCCTGGGCTCAGGCAATTCTCCTGCCTCAGCCTCCTAAGTAGCTGGGATTACAGGCATGCACCACCACGCCCAGCTAGTTTTTTGTATTTTTAGTAGAGACGGGGTTTCACCATGTTGACCAGGATGGTCTCGATCTTTCGACCTCGTGATCCACCCGCCTCGGCCTCCCAAAGTGCTGGGATTACAGGCTTGAGCCACCGCGCCCGGCCATATTATTTTTTAAATTTTGAATTTTTGGGGGATGGAATCTCACTCAATCGCCTAGGTTGGAGTGCAGTGGCATGATCTCAGCTCACTGCAACCTCCTCCTGGGTTCAAGCAATTCTCCTGCCTCAGCCCCCCAAGTAGCTGAGATTACAGACATCCACCACCATATCCTGCTAATTTTTGTATTTTTAATAGAGACAGGGTTTCACCATGTTGGGCAGGCTGGTCTCAAACCCCTGACCTCAAGTGATCCACCTACCTTGACTGCCCAGAGTGCTGGGATTACAGGTATGAGTCACTGTGCCTGGACTTTTTTTTTTTTTTTTTTAAGCTAGAGATGGGATATTTGCTATGTTGCCCAAGTTGGTCTCAAACTCCTGGGCTCAAGCGATCCTCTCACCTGGGCCTCCCAAAGTGCTGGGATTACAGGCAAGAGCCACAGTACCTGGCTTCAGGCAATAAAGTTTAAAAGCCATTGATCAAGTGTTGAGTGTCAGATCTCCAAAATTTGGTGCTGCAGTTTGGCTGCTGATGCCAGGTGATTTTCCCTCTGTGTTAACACAGAGGCTGCCTCACCAGAGGATGCCTCCTTTGACAGCTGGCAGCTCATAGCCAGTTCTACCTAAAGCCTCTGCACTTCCACCTGGAGTCTAAAGCTGCAAACATGGCTGCTTGGCTTTCCACACCCAGGGCACGTTTAAGGAGAAGCATAGGAAATCTAGCAACACTTTTGAGACTTTCCTATTTCCTACCTCTTTTTTTCTTTTTGAAAACAAGAACCTCACGTAGGCACAGAAATGAAAATACTAGGAACACACAAGGGAATCTGCTTAAATTTTTGCTTCACCAGCTCAGATCATCCTTTCCAGAACCACCAGTGGCAGTAAATGGTCAAACAGTCTACAAAACGGCTCACCTCTCCCAGTGCACAAGTATTTGCATTTATGGCATTCCAGGAGTCCTTCCGCCTCTGACTGGTAATATTCCACCTCCTCCTGTCCAGGCTTGGGGGTCGAGGGCACATATCTCCCTGAAGGGAGTTCACTATAACCAAAAAGCATACACGGTCGTTAGGGGGTCTCTCATTCAATAGCTTGTTTCAGATTAGAACTTGTGACACCTTGTGCTGGGCCCAAACATAAAAGACTGTGCAGAACAGAAATAGAATGTGTCACAGTATTTTACACTCCAGATAATTCTCTGGTTTAGTGGCCCCATGGGACAACCAAATACTTGGCCCAACTCCACTAACTAACCATGTTACAGATGCTGTGATTGGTACCCCTGAGCACCACCTTTGATAATTTGTCTGTCCGTGGCAGCTGTCTAACTAGGTTGCTGTGAGCTGCATTCCTGTGAGTGCAACTCAGTTCAGCATGCACCAGGCCTCTTCAAAACCCGTATGCATTCACATGACTCCGATGCCCAGGCAGGCATTCTCTTCCTCCCTTTGTTACTTTGGAAAGTGCTGAGTCAGCAATAACTCTCCAGGCAAGTGGGAGCTGCAGACAACGGATTTTGACATCATCACATCATTTCTTTCTTTTTTTTACCTTTTGAGACAGAGTTTTGCTCTTGTTGCCCAGACTGGAGTGGAGTGGTGCAATCTCAACTTAACTCCTGGGTTCAAGCAATTCTCCTGCCTCAGCCTCCTGAGTAGCTGGAATTACAGGCATGCACCACCACACCTGGCTAATTCTATATTTTTAGTAGAGACGGGGGTTTTCCATGTTGTTCACGTGGGTCTTGAACTCCCGATGTCAGGTGATCCGCCCGCCTCAGCTTCCCAAAGTGCTGGGATTACAGGCATGAGCCACTGCGCCCGGCTATCATCATATCATTTCTTCCTCTGCTAGCCCTGACATTTTCTATTCCTTCTCTCTTCCCTTTATGTAGCACATCCTGAACTTTGTCCATGATTCACCGGGCAGGGGTGGGAGGTGTGCATTCTCTTGCTGGGCTCCCGCAATCTTTCTAGAACATCATGTCTCTTAGGTTTGAAATTTTTCAAACGTTTAGTGTGCACAGGAGGCCCCTGTTCAGCTCTCTACACTCACCACCTCATGCTCACTGACAGAGCCATAGTGAACTACCCACTTCCCTCCAAAAGATGACTACTTTCCCATGCCTCTGGGTTACTATGGAAGCTATTTTTCTGCTTGGGACACCTTTTCTCTCCCTCCCTAGTCTTCTTTTTTTTTTTTGAGATGAAGTTTCACTTTGTCACCCAGGCTGGAGTGCAGTGTCACGATCTCAGCTCACTGCAACCTCCACTTCCCAGGTTCAAGCAGTCCTCCCACCTCAGCCTCCCAAGTAGCTGGGATTACAGGTGTGTGCCACCGCGCCCGGCTAATTTTTTTCTATGTTTGATAGAGACAGGGGTTTCACCAAGTTGGCCAGGCTGGTCTTTAACTCCTGACCTCAAATGATCCGCCAGCCGCGGCCTCCCAAAGTGCTGAGATCACAGGCGTGAGCCATTGCGCCCAGCTCCGACACCGGTTTTTAAAGAAACCTAAAAATGCAGCTCTGGATTCTCCCAGGTCGTGCAGTTGCAGTACAATGGGCTTTAGTAACGGAAACAACAGCCCTTTCCCTGGGCGCAGCTTTGACTGTATCTGGGCGCGCCACTTGTCATGCTAGTTGGTTTTAGATAATGTAAAATAAACTCAGGATAGCAGTATTCCCGCTGTGTGGACAGAGAAGGGAGAGACTGGGCTCAGCCTCCAAGTTCCCGGCAGAGGGGAGCCTGACTCCTCCCCAAAGAGGCCAGGTGTCAAAAACCAGAAGCAGTCATCACCCTGGACCTGTCTCCTGTTGGAGCCGGCAGGGGCGATATCCCATCTGCTCACAATTCACCGTGTGGGGCACATTATCTGCGCATTCAATGGATGGAAAAAACACCACGTCCCCTCCTGACATCCCTTTCACCCCCACCCTCCCCTAGCTCAGAGTCTTCCAGAACACCCTGAATCTTTCTCCTTACAAGGGGCTTATGGGAATTCTGTGCAAGGCAGAGATGGCAAAGTTTGTTCATTAGGAGGGTGGGGTCTCAAGCAACCATGGGACTCGAATGACGCTGCCTAAAGAGACCTCACTGGCAAAAGGGAAAACAAACTTGTACCCTTCAGTGAGGGAGTTTTAGGTAGACTTAGGTCTTTCGTTAAAAATGTAGCATCCCACATTTGTCCTTTTTTTCTTTTGGAGACAGAGTCTTGCTTTTTTGCCCAGGCTGGAATGCAGTGGCGCGATCTCGGCTCACTGCAACTTCCACCTCCTGGGTTCAAGAGATTCTCGTGCCTCAGCCTCCCGAGTAGCTGGGACTACAGGCGCACGCCTCCACACCCTGCTAATTTTTGAATTTTTAGTAGAGACGGTGTTTCACCATGTTGGCCAGGCTGGTCTCGAACTCTGGGCCTCAGGTGATCCGCCAGCCTCGGCCTCTTCAAGTGCTTGGATTAGAGGCTTGAGCCACCGTGCCCAGCCCGCCTGTGTTTTTGAAGGCATATATTCCTGGGAGGGGTAACTCATTACACGATTAACTATTCATTGGGCTTCCCAACTGGGCCACCCGCCACAGGGAAGAGGACTTTGGAGTCGGGTTGGGCTAGCTCTGGAACACCGGACAAGGGTCTGAACCCCAAGGTGCAGTCCTGTGACCAGGCGGGACCGGCCGGGGAGGAGACTGGGGTTAACGCCACCCACCCGGTTGCCTCCCACCCCTCCCTCTCCGGTCCTGGGGTGCCTTTCTTCCTCTTCTCCAGGTCCCCCAGCCCGGCCACTGTTCACAGGGGCAGTTTCTGCTTTGTTAATTGAGTTCAGGTCCCGAGGAGGGGGAACCCTAAACTTTTCCTTCCATGCCAGATAATCTCTTAGAGCGCAGAAGGGAGAAACGGCATTTGTTCCTGATGACCCGCTCCTGGGACGAGAACCCGGGGACACCAGGAGCGCGCGGGTTGGCCTGGGCCCCAGGTGTCCCCGGCGCGGAGGTCGCGGCGCCCCAGCCCGTCTCACCTTTCGGGTGCGTGGCGCCCAGGGCCCCCCTTCCTCTGCGGCGGCCGCTCCGGGGCTTCCCAGGGCGCGGGCCCAGGAGGCGCGGCTGGGTCCCAGGTTGGTCCCCGGGCTCCGTCCCGCGTCCAGCTTTGGCGCGGCTTTCCCCAAATTCCGTGTTCACCTGCGCGAGGGCCCGCGTCCCTGTGTCTGTCCCGGCGGGGGCCTCGGTCCCGGTCTCTCTCCCTGTCCCTGTCCCGGTCCCGGTTCCGGTCGCGCTCCCTCTCCTGGTCTCTGTCCCGATCCCGGTCCCAGTTCCGGTCCCGCTCCCTCTCCCGGTCGCGGTCTCGGTCCCCTCGCCGGTTCCCGTCGCCGCTTCGCTCCCTCTGCGGGTCCCTGGGTCGGTCCCGGTGTCGCTCGTGGGCGCGGTCTCGGTCCGGGTTGGGGTGCCGGCCCGGGTCCCGCTCCCTCGGTCGGGCCCGGGGCTCGCGACCGCCGGACGGATCTTCCATGCCCCTGTTCCGTGTTCCCGCCCGGGAGAGACCCGAGGGAAACAACCACAAGTTTCCTGGGCAGGTGGCCAAGCCCGGGGGCGGGGCGGGCACTCACCTACGCGCATGCGCCCTAGTCCGGGAGCGCACCTGAGCAAGCGAGTCGGCGGGGGGCGCCCTGAGCACGGCTGGGGTCCCGGCGGGAGGGCTGCCTGTGTGCTAAGTGGGAGCCGGGGCGCTGCTGCTGGAAACAGGGGCGAGGCGACCCACAGCTGCGGCTTTCTGACCCGAAGTAATCCCTTGGTGACCCGGCAAGGTAGGCGGCCTAGGGAAGCCAACTGTGGCCACCTCCCCTGGCTCAACTTACACCTTCCCAGAGCATACCCTACACTTGCTCACCCAGCCAGCCACCCATTCACTCATCTACTCACTCACTACCCGCTCATCCACTCACCCATTCACCCACTCACCCAACCCATCCACTCTCACCCACCCATCTACCATCCATCCACCCATTCACCACTCATCCACCCAGCCACTCACCCACCCATCTACCAACTCACCCACTCATCCACCCATTCATCCACCCACTCACCCATCCACCCACCCATCCACCATTCATCCACCCACCCACTCACCCACCCATTCATCCGTCTAGCCACACACTCATTCACTCCTGCTCCATCCATCTGAGCACTCACCTACCCACACATCCACCCACTCACCCACCATTCACCCCTCCTTCCACCCACCCACTGTCCCTCTTTCTCCCTTCTTCTCCTGTTTTCCTTATAACACCTATGTTGTAAGGGGCTTGCAGCCAGTTCATCTATTAAAATAGTCCTGGGCTTACAAATAGCCCTGTTTTTAAAATGGGGACTTACACAGAATTGGCAGCTTTTAATTCTGCCAAATAAGGATATTTAAAAATATATACAATTGCCAAATGGTAATTTTTATTTTTATTTTTATTTTTATTTTTTGAGACGGAGTTTCGCTCTTGTTACCCAGGCTGGAGTGCAATGGCACGATCTCGGCTCACCGAAACCTCCGCCTCCTGGGTTCAGGCAATTCTTCTGCCTCAGCCTCCTGAGTAGCTGGGATTACAGGCACGCCCCACCATGCCCAGCTAATTTTTTGAATTTTTAGTAGAGACGGGGTTTCTTCTTTTTTTTTTTTAAAGGTAGAAATGTGAATTTATGTGTCTAGTTCCACAATTTAAAATAAATATCAAACTGACAATATAAAGCTAAATGACTACGACTTAACCATTGGGCACCAAACAGGGAATACAACTGCTCACTGTAATACATAATGCTCTTCAGGAGTTTCAGCAGATGGCCGTCCCAATACATACAAAATACAGACAAAATACTCATCCAATGTTGAAAGAGACCCTGAAGAGAATGTGGCAAAGGCATAAAGTTGGATCTTTTGAAAAAGTTAATGATATCAAAATACTTTTCCATCACTGGTAAAACAGGCTAGGTCAAGTGTATGTCTCAAAGCAGCACTGAATTCAGAGTAAGAGGTTGGCAAAAAGTTTGGAAAACCGTAGTTTTAAAAATTGGCAATTTCTCCATGCTTCATAAAACTATCAGAAGAGGTATAATGTTTGTTCGTTTGTGGAATGTTGACTGCTTGCTGCAAAAATTCACAACATGAATGAGGACCCGCAGAGATGTGTTTCAATGAAATCGTTTTTTAAAAAATTTACAAAAAACTAAAGTTTCTATTTAAAAAAGAACCATGTTATGCCAAGATGAAACATGGTAAAAAGTAGTGTAAGTTCTGTTCATGATTCTTTACCTAGTGAATGGGAAAGTGATAGAAACAATTTTCTTCTTAAAAAGGAAGCTTTGTTATTGCACTGACTTTTATAACCTGACATAGTAATTTAGAAAAATCATGTAGTAAAATCTGTAAAACTAAAATACAAAATTCTGGTTTGTAAACATCAGTTGGCCAAGTCTATTCAGAGTCCTTCACAATAGTGGAATGGAATGGATAATTAATTCACTACCTTATATTTATTTGCTGTGAGGGGGAAAATTCCAGAGCACAGCCTTTATACTTTCACAGTAATTATATTCAAAAGATATAAAGAAAGTCAGTGCGGTTATCGTATTTTTTTTTTTTCTTTCCCTGTGCAATGTTCAGCTCTCACCTCACTCTCAAGTGCCATAATTGAAATAATACTGGTTTGGAGACCTAGTACAGATTGGTCATAAATGCCGCATAAAGTCCGTAGGACTTCGGTAAAGGTATTTCCAAATGGCGTAGTAATGCACTGCAGCTGCCGTGGCCACAAACAGGTGCCAGATGGCATGAGCAAATGGAATGATGCCATCACTCTTGAAGAACACAACTCCCAAGCAATAAATTAAACCCCCATAGGCAAGTTCCTGAAGTCCATCGGTGTTGTTCATTGATGTCACCACCAAGGCTGGAGAGAATCCCATTGTGAGATAGAAAAAGAGCTCAACCACCTTATACTTTTCATGGTAGAGAAATACATAAATGGTTCCTCCAGCTGCCATGAGCCAGATAAACCAACGCATATGAGATGCCAGGGGTCCAAGTTCACGAAGATTTAACCATGGAGCGTAAGAAGCAGCAATGAAGAAATAGATAACCATTCTATCACACATGTGAAAACAATGCTCCACTGTCCTTAAGTGGCTCTTTTTCCATGATACAATGTGAAATACTGTAGAAACGATGAACAGGGCACAGAGTCCCATCCCATAAATCCATGCTGTTATCTTTTCCCAGCAGTCATCAGACAGCCGATGGAGGAGGGCACTGCCCACAATGGCCGGAACAATGAGGAATGCATGTGTGTAACAGTTAGCAGCATGTTCATAGCAAGTTGGTTTGTAGCGGCCATTGGCTGGAGCTCGATGGTTCATGAACCGATTCTTGAACCGCATTGATCCTCTGCTCCTCCTCGGGGGCCGGGAGCTCCGTCTCGTCAGCACCGGCGGCCGGGCGCGCGGCCCTCATGGGCTTGTGCTGCTCCAGGGGCCGCCTGCGTGTCCAGTGGAACCCTTCGGCCGGGTAAGGCCGGAGTGGGCCAGGCCGGGGGTCGGGACTGGGCTGGGGCCAGACCGGGCGGCTGGAGACGGGGTTTCACTATGTTGACCAGATGGTCTTGATCTCTCGACCTCGTGATCCACCCGCCTCAGCCTCCCAAAGTACTGGGATTACAGGCTTGAGCCACCGCGCCTGGCCTGCCAAATGGTAATTAATTCTTTCAGCAAATATGTATGAGCACCTGGTTCAGCAGGTACTGGAGATACAGTGGAAACTTTGCTTGCAGGGTGCTTCCATTCTAGTGTGTCAGGAAAAGGCAAAGCAGGTAGTAAACAAAGAAAAAAGACGATGTCTAAAGTTTAATGGGCAGGGCAGCTTTCCTTATATAGATCTGGGAAGATGCCATTTGAATTGAGTTCTGGATGACAAGAAGCCTGAAAAAATGTCCTAGAAAGAGAGAAGGCTGAGGAACGCAGGAGCTGGACAAGGAGGTCCCTGGGAGTAGAGTTGGTGGGCACAAAATGAGGCTGGAGAAGTGGACCACCAGGCAGCCGGGCAGATGGTGTAGACGACAGTGTGCATTTTTATTCTAAACAATGGGAGAACATTGAAGGTTTGGAGCAGGAGAGTAACTTTTCTGATTTATATTTTTGAAAGACCAGTCTGGCTTCTGTGGGAGGACGGATGATAGGGGGCCCAGAGTAGAGGGATGAGATGAATTAGGAGGCTGCTGAAGAAGTCCAGGTGAGGGTGATGGTGGCTATGGAGAGAGTGACAAGTGGACAGATTCGGGTTGTAGTTCTGGGGAAGAATTTACAGTATGGATCGGATGTTGGGGAATGAGGGGAAGGGAGAAGTGACTGGGTAGATGGTGGGGTTGTTTACTGAGATGGGGGAGGCTGGACAGAACCAGATTTGTGGGGAAATTAGAGAGCTCCAAGTTGGACGTGCTAAATTTGAGATGGCTATAATTCATCCAAGTGTCGATGTCTAGTTGCAGTTGAATATATGAGCCTGAAGTACAGGGAGAGGGTTGGGCTGTAGATACTCGATGGGAGTAAAGAAAGGGGAAAGATAGAATGGAGAAGAGGCCTTGAGCAGAGCCCCTGGGGAATTCTAACTTTTAGAGCTAAGACGCAAGAGGATTAAGAAGTGGCCGGGCGCGGTGGCTCAAGCCTGTAATCCCAGCACTTTGGGAGGCCGAGGCGGGTGGATCACGAGGTCAAGAGATCGAGACCATCCTGGTCAACATGGTGAAACCCCGTCTCTACTAAAAATACTAAAAATTAGCTGGGCATGGTGGCGTGTGCCTGTAATCCCAGCTACTCAGGAGGCTGAGGCAGGAGAATTGCCTGAACCCAGGAGGCGGAGGTTGCGGTGAGCCGAGATCGTGCCATTGCACTCCAGCCTGGGCAACAAGAGCGAAACTCCGTCTCAAAAAAAAAAAAAAAAAAAAGAAGTGATGAGTGAGTAGGAAGAAAACCAAGAGGGTGGAGGTGACAAGACATCAACCTCCAACAAACAGAAGTGCTACTGTGAGCCCTGAGGCCTTTCTTCCCAGAGTGGAGAGGATGGGGTCACATTCTAGGACCTTCCACAAATCTTTATTGAGCAAAGCCCTGTTCTGAGCTCCAGACAACTATGTATGCAGAGGAAGCCTGGTGAACAAGCAGACGCAGGATGGTTTGTGGAACGGCATGGCCTTTCCTCTCCTAGACCTTCCCTCTGGACCTCTGCAGACCTCTGTCAGAATAAACAAACCCTCATACCAGCTTGCCTTTTAGTTTCATTTCTCTTGTTTTGTATCTTGATACACAAATTATCATTTTGCCACAATAGTATGGCCCACGTTAAGAGCTGAATAAAAAGAACTTTGAAAAATACCTATGGCTCTAAAACAGATAAAAGTCTGGGAAGGAAAATATAATAGAGAATCAGGCCCTAATTTGTATTCATTAGAAGTTTGTAAGAAATAAAAGCTCTTTAGATTCAGAGCTGTGTTAAAGCCCTCCTATATTGTGATGATGAGAGAGTTACAAATTGACTTTATTAACTTTAAAGGTGTAATGAGACTGAACATAATTGGAAGAGAATAAAACAGCACCTGGGAAGGCCTTAGACAGCGAGTAAGGAGGAGGGACCCAGAAGAACCTCAAAGCCCCTTTTCAGCAGGAAGCAGTTACAGAAAAATGACCTCCGCCTTCTTTCCCAAAAGATTTCTGGGTCCCAACTCCTTAAGGAAGGTATGTAAGAGCAGATAGGCTCCAAGGTGCTTGACGGAGCTGCTGGTGGACTGGCAGCCCTAAATTTGGATGGAAACACTTGGAGGATCTATGATTGCTGTTGTGATTATGTTATCAATCTGTTTTGTTTCTCTTTGCGTAGTAGGTTCAGATCCAGAATCCTCTGAGAAATGGTTCACCAAGATAGAGCTGTACTTGCTGACCTAGCTTTGTTGAAACAAAGAAGGGGGAAGACGTCAAGAAACATTAAGTTTACTCTGCCCCTGTGGCTCCCTTGTGGAGAATACCTTTTAGTTTGTAATTAGTGGTGAGGGCGTAACAGCTGCCTACTTGGTATATTTTTGAGTTATGAGTAAATACAGAACACCTGTTTATTAATAATAATCACCTGTTAAGAGAGAATAAATACATAGATCAGAATCTGCTTGGGGCCTTCAGCCTGGAAAGCTGTCAGCCCCTGAGGCTTTCAGCTAGACAGGCTGCTGGCCCCCTGGATAGACCCAGGTGTCTATCTCTCATTGCCTTCGGTGCTGCCTGAGTGGGGGGTCTCCCGACTGAGCTGGTACTCAGCAAAACTCTCATATAGATAAAAAATGAACATGTTTAAGATTTTATTTAACTCAATGATCACTGAAGAAATCAGGCAGATATTACAACAGGTTCAAAAAGGAATACAAAGAACAGACTCATTTGTAGACCAGGAATGATGAAATAAACATGCAAATGGAGGCAAACACACTTGCTTTTTCCCCCAAAGGGAAAGCAAAATCAATTGATTTTCAACTAGACAGGATATAATTTGCATGTTTATAGACAAGAAGTTTTTATTTTTTATTTTTTGCATTGCTACCAATTAGCTGTTTTGTAAAATAGCTCAAAGTCGATGAAAGACTAGGGTCAGACACCCCGGAGGAGTGTTCTCTAGAGCCAGGCGTCCCCAAACTATGGCCCGCGGGCTGCATGCGGCCCCCTGAGGCCATTTATCCAGCCCCCACCAACTGCACTTCAGGAAGGGGCACCTCTTTCATTGGTGGTCAGTGAGAGGAGCACAGTATGTAGCGGCCCTCCAACGGTCTGAGGGACAGTGAACTGGCCCCCTGTGTAAAAAGTTTGGGGACGCCTGCTAGACAATTAGCATTTTCACTGAAGTACAAATGGAAAGGCATTGGTTTTCCTCCAGCTGGAAAGGTGAGATGTTAAATGGTCTGGGAGCTTTGGGGTTTGGGAAAATCTAGGTTTGAGGCTAGCCTGGAGGAGAAGTAGCACCTCCCGGTGGTTCTGACTGAGCAGGCTTGGAACGGAGCCTGGGCACCTGTATTTTTGAAGAGTTCCAGGAGGCACCCTAATTAAGAATCAATGTGTTAATTTAGCACTCAGTATTCCATCCTAAAGGAGAGTCTAATGTTAAGAATAATCCAAATACTTACCTAAGTGTTTCCTTAAATAAGTAAACATTTCTGTTGGTTTTGGGTACAGGCAATGGCATTTAGGGACACTGAGTTGACTTTCCTCACTGGGTTTCTTTGAGTGGTTTCCTTCAGCCTTCATTTATGAGGGAGGCAGTCTTTAGGTATGTGGATTCAGTGGGAAATACTTGCACATTCCCAACGAGATCTTCTGATTCTCTTCCTCACTGAGCACATCCTGTGCTTGCTGTCAGACCCTAGACTCAAGCTCTGGCGGCAGAGGGGACTTAACGCTTGTGTTGGTTCCCAGGCAGGCGCTCCGGGTAGGAAAGGGAGCCTGCAGGGAGGGCAGAGCTGGCCAGCAGGGGGCAGCACAGGCTCAGGCTGGGATGGCCCAGTCATGCTGGCAGGAGGCGCGGGAGCCCATACGATGCTGTCTTCCTCAGTTTTGAGAATCGCCTCTCCCTCCTCAGCCTGGGTGACAAGAGTGCTCTCTTCATAGCTGTGATGCAACGCCTGGAGTTCACTATTTCCTGAACTTCGCATAATACATAGGTGAGACTGAGCTTGGGAAACCACTCAACTTCTCTGCCCAAAATGCAACTGTCTTGCTTGCAAAATGAGAATAATTGTAAGCCTACCTAATAGGCTTAAAAAAGTAATGTGTATAACACACTGGAGAGGTGCCTAGCATATATTTATACTTTACAAGTACTAGCTATTCTTTTATATTATTTAAATTCTTTTTAGAGACTGGTGGTCTCCCTATATTGCTCAGGCTGGTCTTGAACTCCTGGGCTCAAGCGATCCTCCTGCCTCAGCCTCCAAAGTGCTGGGATGACAGACACGAGCCCCTGTGCCTGGCCTGCATTAGCTATTGTTTCTGCATTTCTACTGCTTATCAGGCACTGTGTATGCCATTGTGATGTAAGGAAGATGAATAAGATAATAGAGCTGGCAGAGAGCTCACAGCCTCATGAGAGAGGCAGCCAAGTAAATTCTGTGTGACATTGAGAAGAAAAAGATGAGCATGAAGTGTGGTCAGGGTATGGAGGCAGAAGTAAGCAAAAAGTCTTTGGGAGGCCGAGGCATGCGGATCACCTGAGGTCGAGAGTTTGAGACCAGCCTGGCCAACATGGAGAAACCCTGTCTCTGCTAAAAATACAAAAATTAACCAGGTGTGGTGGTGTGTGCCTGTGGTCCCAGCTACTTGGGAGGCTGAGGTCGAAGAATCACTTGAACCTGGGAGGTGGAGGTTGCAGTGAGCCGAGATCACACTGCTGTATTCCAGCCTGAGCAACAGAACAAGACTCTGTCTCAAAAAAAAAAAAAAAAAAAAAAGGCTGGGCGCGGTGGCTCAAGCCTGTAATCCCAGCACTTTGGGAGGCCGAGGCGGGCGGATCACGAGGTCAAGAGATCGAGACCATCCTGGTCAACA